AAAATCACTTTGTTCGTCGATAATGTAAATCTAAAATTCGCAACAATCCGTTATCACGGTAAATCCTCACCAGAAGACAGCTAACACCGAGCATCCATCATTCCTACTTTCCCACTATCAAACGGCGCGAATTTCACTCGAACTTTCGACGGCGAAGAGACGAAAAAAAAAGAGAATCGCCGGATTGGCGCAATAAATCATCCCATTGTACGAGAGATGATGCTGCGTAATGAGGTGCGCGCAAATATGGCGGTGTACACGCAATAGCAGCGATTTAACGATAAGGATCGTGATCCGGAAGAATGGAGGAGAGCCGCGTTTCGAACGATCTCGCGCGCCTTCAATACCGCCTACAAATTGTTCCGCCATCGACATAGTGGATGCTCTCTCTCTCTCTCTCTCTCTCGTCTACGCGAGAACGATCGGGAAATTCTTTGGTCCGTATCAGCAATGCAAACACGAATTCGCGCCTTCTCTTTCACGTGAAACGCGATGAAACATACCTAAGGTTTCGAGAGAGGAAGAACAACGGGATGGAACATCGCGGTGGTATCTTCGCGACTTCGTAGAATTGATCGAGAAGCACGATGCAGCATGGCTATTGGCAAATATTGAGCCTGGCATGTCACGAGCACGTTTGACTTCTGTTTCGATTGCCAAATCGCAGCGGAGAGCCGGCTATATATTGCCAAATCCACCATTCGCTGGATCGAGTGTTACATACACGCGTGTGTACGAAACGAGGGTTACTTAGAGGCGGAGAGAGTAATCTACCAGCATAAATTATGTGCTTTGCAACTTTCGTAAGGATAACAGGTTCTCCCTCTCTCTCTCGGCACGATCCTTTACAGCTGGAAATCTCGCATAATTCAGAGGCTAATCGGTCGTGGTATTCGAGTTAAAGAGTGTACCGTGCCAGAAGTTCGATACGGTAGGTCGCATACTCGAAATTATTTTCCAGCTCGTTTGCGGTGCGTGTTGTTACGCGTGATGAACATTAGCCGATGAGTCGAGAAGAAGAATGTGCGAGACGATACGAGTGTGACGAGTGTGACGAGGCAACATTTGCACCCTACTATGGTATCCCTCGATCATTTCGAACCGCGTGTCCACGCATACGACGAGGCATCGTGGATAAATGAAGGGGAGTGAAGGAACTGATTGCAAGTTTTCAGCATCGTGAAATGTTTCGTGAACATTCTATGTCGTGATTTTCACGTTTTCGTGCATTTCGAACGAGTAATCTTGCAATTCCAAGAATAAAATAGGGTATTTTAACCTTGAAAGAAATTCTACAAATTTAAAACACCCCTGGACTTAGAGGGTTAATAAAAATTCTCTGGAGTCTCACTCGGACTTAGGATTAGGGGGACAAAAATGATTCTAAATTGCTGTTAACGTTTTTACACTTCCCCCAATTTTCCTTTGTCTCTAGAATTGTTTGAAACATTCCCTAATTTCGGAAATAGAAAGTATGAGTGAGGAATAAAGGTGACTGCTTTTCGCTAAATTACAAAGATGCACTGTAAATCTCGAAAGGAACGACGACTGGTCGATGTAAATTCAACGCCAGTTAAATGGTCAATTCGAAACACAGTTCAATTTTAAGTGCTTTCTTCTTGTGCTACATATGCAAGGAGATGATAGCGTTCTCATGGCCTATTATTGGCCTTCCTCCTTTCTTTCTGCTTTCAATCATATTTTTGAAACGATACGTGTTTGTCTCGTTGCGGAAAATCTCGAGGAAAAATGATATTTTTCAATTAGAAAAAAGAGAAGCTTTTCAGCGACGATTTCGTTTACGATAACCTTTTATCCTCGATATTTTTCGTGACATCCTCAACACGTTCATTATCTTTGCATATTGATTTTGCCTATCTGACTTGCATACGTTCCGCTTGCATACGCAAATTCACCTGAGAAAACAAGGAATGTCGAAATTCGCCAAGAGGTATCTGTCTAATCGTTCCGATTTTGCAACACCGTGTTTACATTGCAAAACATCTTTTTCCTTGTTAACGTTGCACACGACGAAAGGTCACGGTCGTGAATTTCCTTCGGAAAAACTAGCAGACCGATCGACGTTTGCATAATAACGAGGATTGTACGAGAAATACGTATCGATCATCGACGAGAGCTTTTCACTTTTCCTGAAAATTGACGGAAAACGGAAACCGTGAAAAACATCGAGCTAACCGAGAAACACGAATCTACCATCTTCTTACGAAAACCTAAGGAACGATATACAAGATTCTATTCATTTTTGCTCAACCCCCGTCGTGATGGAACACGTGTAGAAGCGGCGACACGTTCTGAAAAGAGGCATTTTACCATTCATTAGTCCCTGGAAACTCTATCCCGGTGTTCGCGTGAAATACTTCTCGATGCACGGCCGCTAATGCGGTCTGTCATGGGCAGGGAGAGAAAAAAGCACGGTCTGTGCACGAGACTCGATACACCCTGGCAGCTTGCCTGCTCTAAGGTATCCCTTGGTAATCCTGGTTATCTCGTGCCTGCGTGCCTCTGCACCGGCCTGCAGACACATCTGCCGTCGACGAAGAAAGAGGAAATTGCCGCGAGCAGGCCCGTGGAGAATGGACCTTGTGTTCTTCGACCGGTGCGTGCATATACCTAACACCTGCCCCTGTAAGCTATTCCTGCGCCTACCTCGCTCTCTCTCTGACTCTCCCTTTCTTTCTCTCTTCCCCTCTCCTTTTTCCTCTGCAACTCTCATTCTCTCTATGACTCTCCTTTTCTTTCTCTCTTCCCCTCTCTTTTCTGCTCTGTGACTCTCCCTCTCTTTCCGACTCTCCTTGAATATCAGTCTCTCCCTGATTCTCTCTCTCTCTCTCTCTCCCTCTCTCCTGACTCTCTGTCACTCTCTCCCTCCGCCCTGTGCCAGTTGATTACCTTATGCCATCGACAACGAGCCAGGGAGAGAAGCAGAAATGAAGGGACGAAGGAGCAGGGCTCGTGCTGCTAGTCCACTCGATCCTCTGGTTACCTGATCTTTGTGGGTTTTATGGTCAACCTTGGCTCATCCTAAATTTCCGGAAACTGGTTGCACCGGAATTCTTTTCGTACACCGTGGAATTTCGGTGTTCTCGATGTTCGGACGCTTTTTACGATTTTCGATTCGGACGTTCGAAATTTCTTACGAAATCGCTAGTCTAAAAGTATTATTGTTAATATAGCATGTATATATATAACCGTATATATATATACGATTTTACTACTTTTAAACAGACTGCAGAGACATTGTATTCACCTTTTTAATACAGATGCAATTTGATTACTTTTATCGTACGATTATTTGATCATTAACTACGATCTATCGATCTTAATTTACAAGTGACAAAAGTAACACTTTAATCTATAAGTATATATAGATTGCACAAGTATTACTTCAACTTTGAACAATTTTCGATTTATATAATTGTAGTAATCCTTGAATTTAATCGAAACATCCATTTATTACCAATAAAGATTTGCAAAGTAATCTCTAAAAATGTTCACAACTGACTGTACGCCTTAAACCTCAGAGCTTCGCTCGTTGAACCGGTAGACCATTTTATAAAGCCAAATTAACCGAAGAAAATTATTTTCTCGTTGCGTAAACAGAAACAGTTGTAGGAACAAAAAGTGGCAGTTAAAACCATGTACACGCAACAAAATATAATTTTTCCTTTAAAAAGAAAAAGAATCCATCGAAAGTCTCGTTAACATCGCTCGATCTGCGAGAAGCTGATACCCGAAGTAACGGCAAGACACGAAAGTGAGTTTCTCCGCGGAGTAACAAGACAATGCATCATCGATTTCTCACAGGCCTTCCTCGTGGCCGAGCGCGAGAGCACGTCGATCGAAGGCTGCATTTATTTAGGTCGTGGACACCGGTAAATTATCTCCTCGATCCTTCCGCTCTTACAACGTCTCTGACCCCCATTCCTCCTTCGCTATCAGCGTTTATCATGTATTTACAGTCGCTTTGCGGTTAGTTGTGCATTGTTTTTACCGATGCTCGCGAAACTTTTGCGAAACCGGCCATCGAGACGGCGTTATTACATGCTGGAATCGTTATCGCCAACGAACGAAATTTTCTCCTCGCTCTTTCCACTTGATCGATTTAATTGTTAGCGAGATGAAGTTTCACCAGAGGATGATAGATCTATTCTTGCATTTTACAGCGGATCGACCGATTTCATATCGTAACGAGTTTCTGTTTCTCGTTTCTGTCTTTACGGTCTCGTTTCAATTGATATTACGTGTAAGATAGAACTGGAGTTTTTTCAATTTTTTGAAAATTAAGAAATTAGAAATTTCTTAGTTATCTTCGCCATTTTAGATGAAATTGAAGGTTTCCACTGGGAGGAGAGAGTGATGACAATTTTGAAGAAACTTTTATATAAACATTTGTGCTAAGAGTTGGATAGTGTACTGAATTAGTTGATTATGTTACATTTTATCGTTTCAATTCTTCGATACTACACGAAAATTATTGATATAAGTACTTGTAACGTGGCAATGAAAGTACGCGTTTATTTATTTAAGAAAAGTGTCGATAATTACTTCAAATTGGCCTCCGAACGAATTCCAATCTCACGTAAGATCAGCTTTTAAACGACATAAATGCTAATTAAACACTCGTTTCGGAAACAATTAATTTCTTACTTTATCCAAGAAGCATACGTCTTTCGTTTTTTCAAAAATTACCCACCAATTGTTCCTCGCAAGTTACAAAAAAAAAATCACCTTTCTTTCACCATTTCTTTCCCACTTTACTTAACACAGAGCTGTAGCCCGGTTAATCGTCGCTAAAATCACCTTGTACCGTCGCTCTGATTTTCTCAATTTCATTTTTTCCTCAAATTACCTTGCCAACGTTAAACAAGTCGAAGGTTACATCGCAGAAATACTGTTGTTACCTTTCCAAACGGCCCACATTTGTAACAACCTGCGTTACTTAATTATCAATCGACAAATGACTCACCGGCGATTTTCAGATTTTCCAAAATGTCAGAGGAGGAGGCGCAATTGCCGTGTAAGGACAGGCAGGAAGATAAGACGGATCGCGTGCGACAACTTCCGTGTGGCGTGTGGCGGTCGACCCATCCGGACCGGAAATACGTAGGCCTAGACGTCGGCTGTAACGCCGGGGTAAGACTGAAACAGCTGTCAGACGAAATAGGATGAGTCGACCGTGATCCGAAATTACAAACGACAAGCGTCTAAATTTAGTTATCCCTTTTCGAGAATTCTTGAAAATTTCCTTGCTCATATTCCTCGATTCCTTCGTTTCCTTGCAGATACATTTGTAATTGAAGTTTCAGAAAAGTTTCGAGAAAGTTACGACTGCTTGAAACTGAATCTCTCTAGTTTGTAAATAAAAATGAGTAAACGTTACGTTATTTTAGTCCTTGCAAATGTCAATACGAGTATATTTGATGAGAGAATTGAAGAAAAAGAAGAAATATTAAAGAATTGTAGTATAATTAAAAAATGAATAATCCCTCGATAAATAAACTGTTGTGTTTTTAACTCGTATTTCCTAGATAGAAAGAAATCACCTTTTGAGAAAAAAAAAAAATATACGTTGTTCTCTGTATAAATTGTTCAAATTAGACGAACCGAAAATTGTTTGCGATATTACTCTAGTCGGTGTGTCTGGCTTTGTTGAAAAATGAAATTCGTCAATGGTGCTGATTTCGATAAAATCGTACCCATTATTTCTGTTGACCGCTTCAATTTAAATCGCGTATTTACGTTTATTTCGTATGATTTAACAGCAATGTAAATTTCGATAATTGACGTCTGATCAACGTACATATTCAACGTATTCTTCTCTGAAGGTAATATTCATTTCACTGCGGTACTCTTTCGCAATTATAATTGAGCATTGTCTACTTAGTCTAACAATTGTAAAATTGCCATGTGTCGGCAACAATTTAATTGCCATGTTCCTCGTCGTTAATATATTTACAATATCTTTCAGAAAGGAACATCTTTATGCGTTCAAATATTAATCAAATATTCGATGCATATATAATTCTACAATGTTCAATATTAGTTTAAAACGCTTTTCACATCACTTCTCAATTCTATTTCAGAAATATTTTGATACTAGAAAGTAAAACTATTTCGCGATGTACGTACAAACTTCACGAGAAACTAAATTTTCAAAGAATTACATCTACAACAGTCTCAACTAAAGTAATTCTTCTTAAGTTTCTAATTCAAAAGAAAAATATCAAAACGAGTAATTTCGAAACACAAGAAAATTCTACATATTCCGACTGAACCGGTTCTTTTCCCATGCGACAATAAAATCATCGTTCTAAAGTAAATCGAGGGTGCAATTTTGAAACGCCGCAAAGAAACTCTATACAGTTCCTTGACCAGCGAGGTCGCGTAAAAATCGCAAATGGTATTAATGATTTCAGGACTTAACATTCGTGTTGCACGACTTCCTCGAGAACGCCTTATCGGCCGATCAGCCGAAGGAGATCTGTTTGCTCGGCGTGGACCTCGATCCGATCTTAATCGAGCGGGCACGAGAACGCAACCCGCGGCCGGATCGTATTATTTTCGAGTGCCTCGATTTTCTGGCCGAGGATCGTAACCGGACACTGGACGAACACCTTCGTCGATTCGAGAAGTCACGCTTCGATATCGTGTTCTGTTTCTCCGTTACGATGTGGATCCATTTGAACCACGGGGACGACGGGCTGGTGGAATTTCTACGAAAGGCTTGTTCCATCGCGAACATGATTGTGATCGAGCCACAATTGTGGAAATGTTACAGAAACGCTTCGAGACGGCTGAGACGATCGAAGGGCGAGGATTTTCCTTTGCTGAAAACGTTAAAATTCACCGGTGATACAGCGGCACACATCGAACGTATATTAACAGAATTTTGTAATTTTCGGAGAGTCACGGTTACCAGGGACAACGAGTGGAAACGTAGGCTATTAATTTATGCGAGGACGTGAGCAGCAGCCGCTTTCGAGATTGATGCGTTTCCGTACGTTAATCGACGTCAAATGAGCGAACGACGATTTTTCTTTATGCGGATAACGTCGAGGGAATATTAATGCCACTGTTGGAACTGTCTTCGAAAGGCTGACGTGGCACGTGCGCAGATGAAGTCGCAGAGAGAAAGATGTTGCGTTTTCTTTGTTACGGTTGGCAGTAATCACTTTCCAAGTGTCAGATTATACGACGAAAAAAATCTGGAATAAGAGATGTCCTTCTATGTACATATATACTCTACTTTGTATCTTGTGAGATACGGTGTAAGTTTTTCAATAAATCTTGTTGCTTTACTTGCTACGTATCAGTAAAAAAAGAAACGAACGGTTAATGCGTAATATCATAGGTATCGATAATGATGTTCGTCTTAACCTATAGTTTCTGTATGTATACATGTCCACGCCCATTGAATCGTATAAATTGAAAATAATTTCGTAATATCTACATGAATCACGTATATTGCGATTATCGGTTTAGATATTATTTAAGCAAGTTTCAATGTAATATATCGAGACATTGATCAAGGCAAAATAAAAACGACTAATTTACCACCCTATGCAGTGACGTAATAACGAGACACTAAGGGGGAGAAAAGATGAGCTGTAAGAGTAGAGGTTATAATTGTTTAAAAGGAAGGATTCTGAGAACGACGCGAGATGGCAATACCGTACGAACGTTTGTTCGGCTGATGGCGAGGTACAGGCACAACAAACTGACATGAATTCTGCGAGCAAGGTAAGCGAAATGCAGCAGTTGTCGCCGATTTTAGGCAGTTTCCCGCCATAAAATACTTAACGGTCATTCTCCCCCACCGCTCGTCTTTCTTTTTCTACGTGAGTCACGTGCTTTTACCCCCGAGTACTCTAGCAATGGAGTCTGTAAGCGGGTATAAGGTTAGGTTATGATCACGTCTAGCAAGACACTTTTTTTTTCTATTTTTTTTCCTTCTCGCAGAAGTTACTCGATACGTTGGTACAAATTGTGTTCGTTAAGTGTTTGACGAAGATCTATGCAGCTAAAAGGATACTGGTGTGAATTTTATGTTCGAAGAATCAACGGGCATTTCACGACTGTTTCAGGTTGGTGAAATATTCACCGCAGCCGGAGCAGCATTCAACAAGCTCGGAGAATTAACTATGCAATTGCATCCTACGACGGACTCACCGGCAGGGTAATTGAACAAATAGCACATATATCATCGCTTCTTGTCACAAATAGCAGCAACGTGTCTAATGCTTTCGCTTAAATTCACATGATGCTACGTATGTAGAGAAACGCGGGAAAATGTCACGTGGTCGCTTGTTAGCCAATAAGAAACGTAATTTTACAGCTTTATTCATGTTTCGAGGGTAAATTGTTTAAACTTGAATACTGTGTTACAATGTTGTAATTTGTTACGATTAAAGTTTTCACAAAAATATTACGATTAATTTTTTTGGTATTATGTAAAAATTAGATAATTATTGTTTACGTGTGTATGACATTAAATCGCACAATCGTCGATGCATGTAGATCAAATATCCTTCAAAATTTTCTTGACGTTTCAATATTATTTGCAATCAAAGTGTGATTTATTATGGGCAAGTGCATTAATATCGCTTAGCTGTTGAAAAAAAAAAAAGAAATGCTGGCTGCACTTTTACATAACTTCCTGTGTCGCTTAATCTGTAGTAAATGGACTGACGAGGAAATTGAGATGCTCCGTCACTCGGTAAAGACCTTCAGTGAAGACTTGAACAAAATAAGTGAACACATCAAGGGACGAACGGTGTAAGTTGAAAAGGCTGCATCGAGCCCACGGTTGTTCCTCAATTTCTCTACGTCAGTCTCAACCCATCGTTAACCGGTTCATTCGACTTTCTAGCTCACAGATTCGGACGACACTAAAGAAAAAAGCTTTTGAGGAAGCGGGCGTACCAATTAGGCAACAAATACTATCCCAACAGTCGGCACAACAGTCGACGGTTGTTCAACAGCAGCAAGTGAAACAGCAAGGGAATTTAATGGGAAAATCGGCGGAGGTAACATTGAACATGTTAAACGCATCGGAATCGGAGGTAGACGTTGAAGGACTACCGGAGGAGTGTCAAGTGAAGCTCGAGTTCGAGGGTGCGACAGAAGAAGTTGCCTCTTAATATGCCATGGGTGATCTTTCCAACCGCGTCTGTTTCATATCTCGATCTCTAAATCTAAGATAATTTTCACATAATATACGCTTAGTGTTAAGTAATCATCATGTACATTCGATAAGTTATGTTTCTCAATAAATTCATAAAAATCAACAGTTGTGATAATTTTCTTCGTAGTATCGTTTTTACCGACCGGTCTACTAATGTTTTCAATGGGGGCGCCACAGACCAGAAAATCAATGGGGAAAAGTGTGAAGTTGTTGGCAGCAATTCCATTCAACCGGATAGAGATTTTTTCGTTGAGCTTTTGGTATTTAACAGTTTCGCGGCTTACGTTACTTCGCTTACATGACGCATGTGATTGACAGATTAGCAATGACACGACTGGCAGCGTACCTAACTTGTTTAAGTTAGTTAATCGGCAGCGTTCACGAGCTGATCTCCTCAATCCTCTTTTTTCTGAATCGAGTCACAGCTGTTTCATTTTAAAGAGGGATTGGCTCGTGCGTGTTCGATCAATGTGTAATGATCAGTACAGTGAACTCGAGTGAACGTCTACAATTCGGGGCACCTGTGGCTGTGCCAGCCGCTTGTAAACATTGAAATATCGCTACGACTCGACGTAACAATGGAAGGAGGCATATTAGAAAGTCCAGACACCACTCTGGACGGATCCGACGATGAAATCGCCTTGCAAGGATTCTGTAGTCCTAAAAAGCTACCGCATAGGTGTCTCGGACTAGCATTGATGTGCTTATTAGGCATTGGTACGATTGTTAGTGGAATGTTATCATTAAAACCTGACCAAGTAGCCATTGTTTATGTTAAACGTTACGACTTGTGACCCCATTTATAGCGCATTAATTATAGCTATCTGGAATGACTAATATCTTTAATCATACTTTTCGACTTTTTTTCTTTATATTAAATTTTTGATCAAATAAACAGAATTATAGGATACGACTATTTTAGTTACTACATTTAATAGCATGTCGAATTGATTATTTTTTAAATATAAATGTTTAAATCTATATCTTAATATCTGACGTTACGCAACATGTTTAATGAAGTGCTAATGAATTTATAGAAGCATAAAAAACAATTTTTCTTTCTCTTATGTTATGATACTGAATATTCATGAATAAAACTGCATAATATTACAAGAAACTAAGTTTCATTCGAGAACGAAATTACGTTGAAATTATTGTGGAAAATAAATTTTTACAAATTGTTTATTACTATGCGAAGATATTAAAATTGTGTCTAATTTGAACGACAAATTCCTAAACTGTGTTTCTTTAACGTTATGTGCATTTTCTATTTCTTACCATTCGTTTTATTCATAAATTATACATTTGTTGTACAATATTTACAAAGCGCAACATATCTGTCTTTTTTATCACATAAGTGTCCTTACGTTAAAATTTCGCGGTTATTTGATATAATTCATCTGGAACAAAGGAAGTCAGCTTTCCGAGAATTGTTACGAAATAATCGCACTTCACAAATGAATGCTTCCGATAAGCGTAATATTTGTTTATAAACGAAACACGAAGAAGTATAATTTTAATAGCCAAGTTAGGAAAATTTTGCACATCTACTGTATCTCTATCATAATCGTGCCTTAGTTTTTCTCTGTTTTCCACAGACACACACAAACATATTTATTCCTAGAATCCATGTAGGTTGTATAAGATATTTTGTTCGTTTCGTATGTGCTCGAGATAAATTGTATCGCTGTGCCAACTCCGTTTTATTTTTTTCGCACATTAACATTTTTGATATTGGAATAATGTCCGGATTCACCTTTAAAAATAATACAAAACGCGCGTATGCGCAGTCGAATCGCACAGATATGAATCACGTTTTTCGAGTGCGCTTTCGAGTATCTTCTTAAACGATAAGGTCATAGACCTCTATAAGATGATTCGCTTATCACACAACTGCACTTTCATTCAGTGCACCGATTAATCGCATGAAATATTTTTATTCGTAGGTTCGTTTTTCTGTTTCGACAGTCCTGGCGCCCTTCAAGATAATTTTAAAGTTGACCTGCACATGTCTACTAGCCAATTCGTTTTACTTTATTCCATTTACTCATGGCCAAATGTGATTTTGTGTTTTGTTGGTGGATTTTTGCTGGACAGTGTGTTTGGTATACGTTTAGGAACAGTTGTATACATGGCACTCACTTTGGTTGGTCAAATCATATTTGCAACTGGAGCTATGGTGAATACTTTTTGGGTAATGATGCTTGGCCGCTTTATTTTTGGGTATGTTTTCTTCATAAAGAATTTATAATAATGGTTATTGGTATTAAATTTTATGCTCTTTACAGTATTGGTTCAGAATCCTTAGCTGTTGCTCAGAACAATTATGCTGTTCTGTGGTTCAAGGGAAAGGAGGTCAACATGGTGTTTGGTTTGCAATTGAGTTTTGCTCGAGTTGGATCAACTGTTAACTTTTTAGTAATGGAACCACTTTATAATTACGTATCTCAGTATTACAAAGGACCTAAATGTATTGGCATAGTTCTTTTTATTGCTACTCTAACTTGTGTGGGTTCTATGATCTGTGCATGTATACTGGGTATTATGGATAAGCGTGCTGAGAGATTATTAAGGAGGGGGGAGGGACAAGAACCCAAGGTTGTTAACTTAACAGATGTTAAGTACTTTAAGCCAATATTTTGGTTAATTACTATTATTGCCGTAGCTTATTACATTGCGATATACCCGTTCATCGCCTTAGGAAAGTAAGTATGAAATGTAGGAAATCTTCATAATTATGTTCTGTATATCTACATACTGTGTTACATAATTTTTTTTCTCCTAGAGTATTTTTTGAACGGAAATACGCGATGGACCCATCAAGTGCAAATACAGTTAATTCTCTGCTATATTTCATATCAACTGTTGCATGTCCCATTTTGGGCTGTATTGTTGATAGAAGTGGAAAACACGTTTTTTGGGTATTTATTAGTATTGTTGCAACTACAGTGGCTCATGGACTATTTGCATTCACATATGTAAATCCTTATGTATGCATGATTCTTATGGGATTGTCATACTCTATGCTAGCTAGTAGTTTATGGCCATTGATTTCTCTTGTTATCCCAGAATACCAGCTTGGCACTGCTTTTGGAATGTAAGTAAAATGCAATATATATTTCATAATATCTTAGAAATGCTTTGATCATTAGTACTACAGAATTCTTTATTTGCAGTGCACAGGCTGTACAAAATCTGGGTTTGGCCATAGTTTCAATTTTAGCTGGTATAATTGTTGACCGGGGTGGATACTTCATGCTTGAGATATTTTTTTTGGGTTGGCTGTGGAGTATGTTTTTTTGTGTGTTGCAGTAATAATGATATAAATATTGATGCAATAATTTGTAATTAATATGTTTTCAACAGTTGCGTTGATAACCGCCATTGCAATGTGGGTGTTGGATGTAGCAACCAACGGTGGTTATCTCAATATGACGCCAGGTCAAAAAGAACAATACGAGAAAAGTGAGAGTCTCGAAAGAGAGAGATTATTAGGTCCAGAATCGACTTCAGATTTATCGACTGACGATCTTTTGCCATCACCATCTGACATTTGCATTAGAAATCGTATTGGGGACATGGTAATATTTCATTTTCGAACTGAGTAACAAAGAAAATGTTTTCTAAAAGTAATTAAACGGCAGAACACACTTTACATTTTTTTTATGGTTGTAGATACCACCCAACATGAAGGTACCGATTCATCGACCACTACGATGATGCATTTTATTTAGAGACAAATTTTGGATATAAATAGTTATCTTCGTTTAAAATCTCGTTAAAAGATTTGCTCACTGTGTCTTCCTCTTACACAGCGTTAATCTGTGATAATTTCTTAATTGATACGTTTAAAACCAACTATTGATTCATGATAAATGACTCATTTTTAACGAGTCGATAAATAGATCATTTATTAACAAAACAATATGTCGACAGTTGACAAAGGACAAAAGATATGTATCATTTGTTTCAGCATTTATTATTATTACAAATTTTAATAATAATGCGAGTGTACCAAACATAACGGGACAATGTTTTTATAATAAAAACAAATCAAGAATTATTTTCTACCTCTTGTTTAAAGAAAAATGTACGTAAAATTTTCGAATTACTTACTGTTTAATATCTGTAATAAATTGTAGCCTATAAGTGTATCTTAATATAGATTTAATTGTGTATAGTTAAATCAAAACAAAACTCATGTGATTTATCTTGCATTGTTTCCTTTTGTACTTACTGACATTAATTTCGCATGTGCTACTACATTGTATATTTTTTTATAACAATTGAACGTTTAGTTATTGCAAGACTTGATAAAAAAAAAATTTTCATAAATGCTATAATAATCCATTTATGCTATAAAATGTACGATAAAAGATGTATTAAAGAAATTTTATACACAAAGGACTTTTAAGCACTTCTTTGATAGAGATAATTTTGTACGTGCAAAACAGTCTACATTTGATATTTTAACAATAACACGATATTTTACGAGTAATACAGTAAACAGGAAATTATCGTTCTTTGTGCAATTTTGACCTTGTTTGTTTTTTTTTTTTGAATTTCACGAACATCCGTTATTGAAATATTTTATTTTTGTTTGAAAAGGTCAGTTTAATAATTATACGAATACTTCGTATTTTAAAAAAGAAATGGTCAACATAATATGACATGAACGAGTGAAGCTACGCCATTGGCTACTACGTTCTGTCAAGATGCTTATTTGTACACATCTGTAGTGTGCAACACGTGCGTGCTCGTAGCAGAGTTACGTTTGGGAAGTTTGCTGTTTCTGCTCTAATATTCGGCGACATGGGGGTCCACGACAATGCAGATTCGAAGTACAATGTTATGGGAGCTTCGAGCTTTTCGAAATTAGCACCTAAACGTCCTACTACCGTCGTGTTTAACGATACTCCAAGCAAAATCCAGAAACACGAGGATGGTCAACAAAACGTTCCGATAGAAAACGTGGACAAAGGAAGTATTAGTTTACAACAACAAAGGAAATCTTTACCAGTCTACAGGCTTCGGAAGCGGTAAGTTCTGCATTATTTTCGTTTACTGCTAGCTGATTTTCACTTCTATCTTGTACTGCCAACAATATCTCCGAAGCGTATGCGAGGAGTATCGTGAAACAAAATGGAGAATCATCGACTGTGCGAAGTTAGTAATTCGCTTCCTTGCCGTATAGGTGGCAGTGTTGAATCGAATAAAGAGCGCGCGTACTACAAATGCTATAAAACATCGTTTTATAACTTTCTTATAGTATTACTGTATAGCAAAGTATTGCAACGTATACCATTGTTGCTGTTTGATCGAAATATTTTATCCTCTCTAATATGGAATATAATTGACATTAAATAATTTCTAGTCTTCGCGAATACGAGATATTTTCTACGAAATATTATAATAAACATAAAGTGTTCTAATTTCTACACTTTACAATTTTTACGTCAGTCTACATAATTTTTGTACCGTTCAATATATTTTTATATTTATAAGCATATAATACCTTACGCTGAAATTAGTTACGTTTCAATTATTGAATGATAATTACAATTGAAAAATATAATGAAAATTTTAAGCCTTGGACAGCGGATGCCGGGTCAAATATGACCCAATTACTAAAACCCACATTTTTTTATTCTACCAGGCGTTGTGTTGTTTAAAATTATACAAATGTATTATAATTGAAATAAGAAACGCATTTACAATACAAGCAGAGGAGAGAGTCGTGACTCTGTTTCGAATGAAACGAAAAGACGGTGACCCGGCCTCCGCCGTTCGAAGGTTGATAAGATATTTCTTAAAAATTTCTAAATTCAAGCCCGTGCTTTCCGCTCTTGCGAACATAATAAATTTCACAAACACATTCCAGACGATCGTTTCACTTACCTCTCGTACTCGGCGCGTATTCTCGTTTCAGGCTGCTCGAGGAGATTCGCAGGAACAGCACGCTGATCATCATCGGCGAAACGGGCAGCGGCAAGACCACGCAAATTCCCCAGTTGCTTCTCTCTTCCGGTGTAGCGGGCACTTCCGGTTGCATTGGTATCACACAACCTCGAAGGGTGGCCGCGGTAAGCGTGGCACGCAGAGTGGCGCAAGAACAGGGGGTCGAAACCGGCAAATTGGTCGGTTATTGCGTACGTTTCGAGGACGTGACCTCTTCACAAACGAGAATCAAATATCTGACCGATGGAATGATGGTTCGCGAAGCGATGACCGACGAGATTCTGTCGGATTATTCGGTGGTTATTCTCGACGAGGCTCACGAGAGATCGGTGCAAACGGACGTCCTGCTCGGTGTTGTTAGACGGGCGCAGAATTTACGAAAGCTGAAGAATCTTCCGCTGTTGAAGTTGCTGGTGATGTCGGCCACGATGGACGTCGATAAGTTCACCAAGTATTTCCAAGCACCGGCTGTCTACTTAGAGGGTCGCCAGCATCCGGTGAAGATTTATCACGCCGTCAAGACGCAGGAAGATTACGCGTTCTCCGCTCTTGTTACCGCTTTCCAGATTCATCGCGACAACCCTGCCAAGTAAGCGGCGCTTTTTCATCAAATCGGCTACCGGGCTTTTCTCCCTTCTCTTCTATCTTTCATCCTCTTTTCCCTGTCACTCGGTTCCTCTTTACTTTTAACCCTTTTCCATAATCGCCTCCGATATACAGCGCGAGTATTTCGAGGTAGCAGGCGTTCGATAGAAAAATTTCACCGATGATTTCGTAACAATCAAGTTTTGTTGAATTTGTCGAACTTTTCTTAGAATTAAGATGGGAGCGTGGTAAAAGAGGCCTGTGGAGGAAAATGTTAAGGAGGTCTGTGTGAACAACAGATATGAGGAGAGACGAAGAATTTCCAATCATTTTTAAATCGATCACACAAGTGACTACTTGAACGTTTTCAAGTTCTAAATTTTTTTCGTATTAACTTGAAGTTCGTGTAGTTCTTGTTAAGTTACTCTCGAGGAATCTAAGGGTTCGTGTTAGGCGCCAATCAAGGTGAACGTGACATTTCATGTTACACGACCTAATGCAATTCTTTATACTCATTATCACCTAATTTTTGTGTCACATCTAGTGGTTAGGAAAACCACGATAACGCTTCGTATCAACAAATTTATTAATATACAAATTTAGACCAATATTTCCATGGAACCTTTTTAGTTTCTTAGTATTTATTTCTTATTTATAGCGTTTCCTTGGGCTTTCGTTAAAATATCGTTCGCTTTCGGCACGAACTTCTGGGACGACCTAACACGTATATCTTCAAAACCCACTTGATTTGCATAATTTGTAACCCTAGCGTAACAGCTCGAAATTAAACACGTTCCTCGATAGGATAACAGAAAAATATCACCGGTGTAATTTGTTCGGCTTATTGTTAGTAGGCCAATTGCAAGACCTCCGTGTATTTGCATACCGTTACGTTTATTAGATTAGAGCGAGAGACGGTTCGAATACGAAGCCCGTGAAACTGGGTCAAAAGGAAACAGACGATTTCCTGAATTTTTCTCTCTTTCTCCTCCAGCGAGGATATTCTGGTCTTCTTAACCGGCCAGGAAGAAATAGAAGCTGCTGTAGTGAGCGCTAGGCAAGTAGCTAAACAACTGGACGGACAGGGCTATCCACCGTTGAAGGTTTTTCCATTGTATTCAGCTTTACCGACGCATCAGCAACTGGAGGCATTTAAACCATCCCCCCCTGGTATGCGGAAGCTCATTTTGTCGACGAACGTGGCGGAAACCTCCGTCACAATTGGCGGTGCGTATCAACGAACGAGAATCAATTATTTCCAGTTTCATTTGGAAACATTTCTTAAACCTATGTGTGGTTTGCTTTCGTTTTTCCAACTGCTTCATACTCACCGATAACCGTTCGCTGATTCATGATTTCGTTGAATCGGTGTAACTTTACAACGAAGATCACTCGTAAAACTTTGGAGTAGAAAGGGTAAACGACTCTTCAGGCTAGCTGGTAACAAAAATTGTTGCATATAAGGTCTTCGGGTCAAAAAAGACCCAGTCAGTGTCGTTCAGCAGTCCATCAGGCGGGCAAGGGCCCCCGCCGTTGCCCGCGGGCAGAGCTGAGGGCAAAGTCGTGGGCTAGCGATGTCATATTAAAATGATATGGGGGAAAGACGTATCTTTGAAATATCCTCCTGCTTAAGACGAGCGATGGTTACTATATACATACACGCATCGTTGCCCGCCGATTCGTTTAACGCCCGGGGAAGCCCGTAACTGCCCGTACGGGCAGTCACTGAACGGCACTGGTACACGCTATCAGCGTTCAAAAATCACAAAAATGCACAAGTACTCTTTCGGTCTTTGAAAAATACTGTTCGAACGATTAAACTCTCAGAAATGTTCTTTCGAATTTTTCGCTTCTAACGATGCCAATCCGAGGTAATTGCCGTGAAAAAGTTCGATCTATCAAAAAGTGCAATCTACCCTTTCCTCACCGATTCGAATCATTTCTTTCCTCGGGAAAAAGGGAGGATCGATGTCTTTGAAAATCACATCTCCACACACACACACACACACACACAGAGAAGAAGCAATAGGAAGAGAGGAGAGAGATAGAAAAAAAGAAAGTGAGACGGTCCCGTAACGGACTAATTCGGCAAATTGTTCATCAGTGGGACCAATTTCATTTTCCGCGAACGGTGTGCAATCTGCTAATATCACGGACCCGAACGTCGGTACACTCGTTCGTGACAGACTTGATTACTCGCCGCGCTTTCGTGATTACATTCGCGGGCGAGACCATCGGCGTTCCGGCTGCACACACAGTGATTTCCCGATGAAATTACACAGGAATTCGACATGTGATCGACACCGGGGTGGTCAAAGCGAGAACTCATCACCCGACCACCGGATTGGATGTACTCAGGGTGGAAAAAGTCTCAAAGGCACAGGCCTGGCAGAGGACAGGCAGAGCTGGCCGAGAAGCGGCCGGCAAATGTTACAGAATCTACACCAAGGAGGATTTCGAGAGGATGATGGAGATGCCGGTGCCTGAGATACAAAGGTGTTCCCTCGCGGGAGTAGCCCTCCAGCTGCTTGCTATCGGAGTTGATATCACCACCTTTGATTTTATGGACAAACCGCCGAAGGAGGCTGTCGACGTAGCGGTGACCTGCTTGGAGAAGCTCGGCGCTGTTAAAGGTGAGTGTCTTTTATCTTCGAATGTCAAAGATATTGCTCCCGCGTAGACCACGAGTTCTCTGCGTTCTGGGACATTTTCCTGCATGCGATCTAGGCGAAAGAACCAGTGCTTTCAGGTTTCGTACAATCTTTGCGGGATCTAAGATTTATTGCAAGGAATCCGAAAGGGTTGCTTATAAGGGAACTGTAAACTGAAAATTCATGTTTTTATGAAATTTTGCAGGTTTGTAGAGGACCTTGATAGAAGCTATTTTTTGCTTTTTCAGAGTAAAAACACCGCTTTGTCAATGTGCATTTTCCTATTTTTCTCTAAACAGAAAATTGCTGGAATGGAATCTGTTTGCACTTGTAAAAGAAATTATGTTCGTTACTGTTAGCAGAAATATTTTCAGCTGATAAAATTACCTATCTATAAACAATAAAACAGGGGATTTGTGGTCTTCAATTTACTTTGATCAGTTTATCAACGGACTCTAATTAAGATACCTGAAATTCAAAGAAATATTAAACAAATGTTACCAAAAAATGATTAACTGTATACAAGATATTTAAAATTGTTGATAACAATTAGAACGAGCATCTCTCGCGTGTTAAATCGAAAATGGTAAATATTTTCACTCTCCCCGACTGCCACGTCCCAGAAGTAACAGTTACATCTGTACTTTAGTTAGTTTGATAAACGAAGGTATCCGAGATTACGCGTAAAGCTCAACATCCTTGAAATGAAATGCAAAAGTACGAGGTTCTGTTCCGTGAATTTGCGAAGAGGAAACTAAAGTGGTCAATTAAGCTTCCGGAGTGGGATTGTAAGTTTCAGTTTCCCCGTTTGGTTTGCTAATTGAATTATCCAAACCATTGGGAAAATCTCGTTTCTTCGGGACAGTTTGTTGGCTTCTGCAAACGTGAATAACGCATGTCATCGACGGAGGATCGAAGTTGAAAAAGTCAAGTTGAAAACACGAAACGAATCCCGTTACTGAAAACTACAGATAGAACGGAGATTGATGGATTGGTTCGATGCGTTGGGAATTCAACTTAGATTCTCTGCTTGTTCGATCATTTTGCCCTGTCAATCGAACAATTCCAACTGGCGAGTCTCTCCCTTTTCAATTTCACATTACAGCGAACGTAACCTTATTCGTAATTATCTTCCGTGCGATGTTACTTGGATAAAGAAGAAAATAGAAATATTACAATTTAACGGTAATAACTTTATGGAAATTTTGTGGATTTTACCGGAGTTGTTTCGTGTAAAGTAATAATTAACAAGGAAATGTTCTTAAAAATGGTTGGATATTTAAGAAACAAAATAGTTAGAATTACTAATTAGTTCTGTTTAAAATAAGGTCACGGGTCATTGATTTTGGATTTCAGGCGTTCTGGAATCTCTAACACTCAGTTCCTTAGCTCCTCCTAATCTCATTTTCTTCGTACGATGTTTCGTCGTCGACTTGCGACACGGTGTAATTTACAACATATTCGTATTTACAAACCTACTTGGTTTCTCGAGCGAAATCAAACGAAAAATTTATAATACCTGCGGTGGACTGTATCTCGTCTTGCTTAACTTCTCGCGCAAAATTGTATTCGCAGTCGTGGAACGTGTGTCGTGAATTGCGTTATCGAATGTAAAATTTGCAATTTTTAAATTGGACTGTAAAATTAAAAATTCTACATTTAAAATATTTCACTGTTTTTCTTTTCAAAATATCGTTGTGACTGTAGTTTTTTTTTTTAGTTTACTTAGGAATTATTTTCAGAAATTTTAACGAAGGATATTTTTCGCGAGAATAATTTCACGAGATTGCGACAAGTTGAATAATTAATGCGATAAAATCGCCGCGGCTGTAAATGTAGAGAAGCACATAGAAAGCACACAAATTCGGTAACACCGCAAACTTTCGAAAAGGGGAGATTCTGATATTCAAATAAGCGACATTGGCACGCAGAGAAAATATATCCCCGTCCGTGAAAACAATACGCTTTCTCACTTTATTTCTTTTTAGAACAGCAGTATTTCATATCTCACGTGTTGGTTGCTATCGTAACTGCATCGCGTATGTCCGAAGCGAGAATCGCTGCAATTTTATTCCGCGACGTTTATACCGTCTGCTAGAATACAATTTCAGGATTGATAACGTCTATTCTTTTATCACTTTTGCTTTCAAACGGAGGGGAAACTGAATTCGAATAGACGCAAAAATTGTACAAAGTAGATAAACGAAATTGACGATTAACTGATTTTTGAAATTTCAAATCTTCGACATTTTTATGATTGTTCAATTGAAGTTTCGAATAGTGGCACAACGACATAGGCTGAAATTACTATTTAAATAAAATGTAAAGTATATCTGTGTTTTCTCAATTTACTAGAATATTTAATAGTTTATTTTAAACAACGTGAATAATTGATATCAATTCAAGATCAAGATTAACATTATTCGAAAGTCACCGTAATAAATAATGAAAAGCAACAATATATTACGGCAATATTAATTTGCAATTTTTCTATTTTATGCAATGTTAAGGATACTTAAGTTAGACCAGGTTCACGATACGGACGCGACTCTGCTATTTTTGAGACTAAGGTTTGAATGCGCGTTTAATGTTTTCGTTCGTTAATTATTCCTTATTGTCAGGAGGGCTCCAAACCTCTCGTAAAAGCGGAGAATTTGGAGTTTCTTCTGGCTTTTCCCATAAGCCCAGGTGACGCGTACTTCGCGCAAAACACCCCCTCCTTGAGGGTGAGTGGCCCGAACTTGAGTGGGAGCCTTGGCCTCCCATCCAAAACTCAACTCAAGAGACCCAAATGCAACATTTGGAAGGGGAAATGCGAGGGCTGAACGGGGCAAAGAGTCAGCGAGACCGGGAGAACAAATTCAAACGTGGAAGCAAAAAGTTCAGGCGATCAAACAGTCGCTACATCATCCATCAATTCTAGACGACGTGTCAGAATTGAACATACAATATTGCTAGTTTACCTACTTTTGTTATCACACGTTTTTTCCTAAATATTTTACAATATTTTATCAAATTTTTACTCCCCATAATTCCTCTGCCAGTGCTGTCGCGTCGCGTTTCAAAAAGAAACTCGCAGTCGCGACTGTTACCCGCCAAATTAATTTTAGATAACTAGCTCAAATTTTGTTTGCTCGATACGTTAGCAAACCTGCGTCACGATGCGATTGACGACTTGTTTCAAGACTCGAGTGATTGATCGCGACTCGAAAACTCCGGGTGTCTCCTCGAACGGTTCGAGACTGTGTGTTGTTCGCACGAGAGAATCTTTGCGAATGTGTGTTCCGATCCCCGAATTTTTCTGGAGTGCACCGTGATTCCCCCGCCAAGTGCAAGACGGCACGCTGATTGGTTTTTCACGTACGCACAAATTACCAATCAACGTGTTCCTTAAGTGTCACCCACCCTTGGAAGGAGTGGGGCGATACCTGCGGGTGCGCGGAATCTTCGCTGTCCTTCGGTGACGCGTCGGAAATTCCCGCCAGGACAACCCTCGGCCGAGAGTGCCGTTATACGCACGTGTGGATTGACCCTTCAGGAACCCTGGTTTATAACACGTCTTCGGTTATCGATGACGCGGAAAAGTCGAAATTCTAAAGGCGTTGTTCTGTAAGGAATTACTTATTTTTTCGCGAAGCTACGAAGCGTCTTTGTTCTGAAAAATAACCTTCTAGTGCGAGCGTGCCATAAACCCGGTCAACGAAGACCTCACGCGTTCCGTACCTGCGCGATGGAACAGTGCTATTTTCTGTCGTACAATATTTTGAAACAATTTCGATATCATAAGAAAAACGACAAGATCTGCTTGCGAAATAAATTCGATGTTGCAAAAGAAAAAAGAAAGAAAGAACTCGATCGTAGAGTATCGAGTATACATAAGTACAACAGCGACGGGGGATCACAATCGAATATCTTTATTTTCCTTTCGATTCCCATATGATCGAGACGCTGCCACGCGGTATTACCATATCGGATAAAACTTTCTCATTTGATTTTCACGCGAATAGGTTCTCCGCCACAGCTGACTACACTCGGCAGAACTATGTCCTTATTCCCGTTGGATCCACGATTCACCAAGGTGATACTTGCGTCGGTGGAGCATCAGTGTCTCGAGGAAGCTCTCACTGTTGTCGCTTTACTGTCAGGAGAGTCCGTTTTCACGGATCCACCAGCTAAAAGGCAGCAAGCTTACGCTGCTAGATCAAGGTATTAATTCTACCGATTTCTCTACCGGTACCTTTTTATTTCTCTTCCACTGAATACTGCATCGTAATGCTTCTCTTCTGCCGAGCTTCGGTTAATCTTCTTAGATTTCGTAAAAGTTTCACGATCAGAGAATCTTCTCGAGACGAAGGATTTTAGTTTTACGCGGGTGGTTAATCGATGAAAATTGCACGCGTGTAATTTTGTAATAATAAGATGTTAGCGAGTAGTATACGCCACGTTAGAGTGGAATGTGATTGGCTTATCTTTTAATCGAAATAATTGCCTTTGGCTTCAGCGCGTTCTTTTCTTTGGGGCAATTTAACCCCTTAACCTACAACAACGTGTCAGACTCGTGGCAGAAATTCTGGTCAAAATGTGACAAAACTAACGATATTAGTAAGAAAAGTTCATGGTAATCCTAACTTTCCTTGTAATATGTAAAATTGAGGATTACGAAATGTAATTAATCTTTAACAGATTAACTTTTGTTACCTGATACAGTACTGAAACGGTAAACTGGCTGACGCTTAGATGCGCAGTTAAAAAAAAAAATCATAGGTTAAAGGGTTATTTAAGTAATTTTTTCAGTTTTGCAACGGTGTAACATGGTAATTTATTTTTTATTTATTATGTATCTAGATTTGTTTTCTTTTATTTCATGTATTACACGTAATATTCAGATGAAATTGTTACTTTGTATAAACTAATGCGATGTTTGACACGAAACGTTGATTACTTAGAAAATGTCGTAAAGAAATAGAAAAATTCCGAGTGATTGAATTTCCTGTACACTGCTCACATGTTCCAATTCCTCAATAAGTATACACCAGAAGTAATATTTTTCAGGTATTACTAAATTTATGCATAATTTAGAAACTAGTTAACCTTATAGTTTCCTCATTTCCAAAACAGGTTTGTAAAATCCGATAATATTTAGCTGAAATTTACGTGTTACGGATAATCTTGCTATAATTTGCGAGGACGTCAATTTTTAAGCAAATATAATCGAGGAAAAATACGTACGTATATTAAAAAAACGAAAAAAACGAAGAAGTTTTATAGCGAAGGCATAACGACTCTATTAAAAAAGTGGAACGAATTTATGGAACGAGAAGGCGATTACGTTTTTTTGTCAAATTTAACTGCACAATGTTTGAAATGTTAATCCAAATTTTTCGAGTAAAGAATATACGAGGATGATAAGCAAGATATCGAATAAACGAGGATAGCAATAAAAAGAAATTCGACGCGATCTTATGGAATGACCTATAATAAATATTATTTCAAAAATATTTCACACCGAAAAAATAGAATATTTTTCACAATTACACTCACACTCGGTCACAACGATAATAAATATTATTTCAAAAACACTTCTCCCCCTTCACCCCCCCCCCAAAATAGCATATTTTTCGTCATCATACTTACACCATCCTCACACAACGATAACAGACATTATTATTATTCAATACAAAACATACCCCAGCGAGAAAGCCAGAAAAAAAACAGCATATTTTTCAACATATTCCCCGGGTGAATAGGCTCGACGAGCCTCGGTTAATCCTTCGAGGGGTTAAACGTCAAACAGATCCCGCGACGGTGTGTGATCGATACTCGCAGCTTGTTACGCTTGTTTCGCTCGTTCCAGATTCGCCTCACCCGAGGGAGACCACGTCACGTTGCTGAACGTTTTTCGCGCGTACACGAACATGAAGCAGAAGAAGGTCTGGTGTCACGAGAACTTTCTGCATCACAGGAATCTGGAGTACGCCGCGGAGGTGCGACAGCAGCTCGCCGCATTGGCGGAACGTGCGAATTTAGAGAAGGCTAGCTGCGGTGCGAATACCGAGCAACTCAGGAAAGCCCTACTCGAGGGTCTCTACGATAATCTCGCTGAATTGCAGAGGGATCAGGCTTACGTCACCGTCAGTACATTCTCATCCTGTGCTTTCTTTCTTCTTTTCTTCTCTTCTCTTTTCTCTCTCCGCTCGCGATCGCCGATTTCGCTCTAATTTCCGCCGAATCGAAAGTTCCTTTTTCGCTGGAAACTTTCGCCCAGTTCAATTTGCAAACAGGTCAGCGAGTTATGTCGCCAACGAGATCGGGCAAAAGGTGTCCTTTTTTTTCTAGCGTGTAAAAAAGGTGCTTGTGTATTTTGGATCTCGGGCGAGTTTTCGAAAGTGATGTGTTTTTTTTGTTTTTGTTGTTATTGGTGTACGGTTTTTTGGGATTTTAGAAATACGTGAAATTGTTGTTCAGCGTTCACTGTCGTGCTTTAATTTGGGGTGGGATTTGATATTTGAAGATTTCTTTGGTCTTGTGTACCTTTTCGTTGAATTGCGAAGCTTGTGTAAGAGAGAGAGTTCGAAAATCGAGATTTTTTGTTCTCGGAATGTCCTTGGGTCAAAAAGGACCCAAAGACCTAACGTGCCATAGGAACCTAGGCACTAAACTTTCAATCTAATATTAAAGAAACGTAAAGTTATTGAAATATGAAAATTTATGAAATTAGTTATTGAAATATTTGTAAAGTTGTTGAAACTGAAAAAAGGCGACGGGTCAAAAAAGACCCGAAGACCGCACCAGGCTTGATAACTTACGAATCACACATAAATTCATCCCCTCGATATTTCGTCGGACGAGAAAATATTGAAAAACTACGTCGCACAGTTTACATCTTTCTTTTTAAACAAAAACCAGTCAAATTAAACGCGATTGCACGAATAATTAGCCTGTGTCGCATTTGGATCATAGATCTGAGTCGCGCGAATTTGGTACGGTGAACGAACCCCGTTGGAAGAAGAGAAAACAAGCCCGAAAGAATAAATGTTCGGTCGTTACACATCGAAGCACATCCGTCCTTTAGTTGGTTTGACAAAAGGATGCGACACTGGTGGTGGCGGTGGTACGAAAAAGTTTGCACTACAAGATTAAGGGGGAAGTTTTTGCCTGTTAGGGAAGGGCGTTATTTTGTTGTCATGTCGGGAATTTGAAGCTTAAACAAGTTTCTCCCGGAGTGTATAGGGCGCAGTTTAAGTAAGTTTTCTCTGCCGGCGACTGGGTAACGAGAATTTAGGAGTAATTGGATTGTACGTCTGTGTAGGTGAGCTCGAAGCAGCCGGTCGCTATACATCCTTCGTCGACGTTACACAGCAGCAAGCCACCGTTAATATTGTTCACGGAGGTCGTAGCCACCGGAAGATGTTATCTTCGCGGTTTGTCTGTCATCGAGTCCTCGTGGTTGACTGAAAAAGGACCGAATATCGGGAAACACGACTGAAAAAAGGACGTCAGGTCGTTGGGTTTCGTTAGAGAGGTAGATAATAAAGGGAAGAAAAAAGAGTGAAGGTAAAAGAAGAATTTGAAGAATGTGTTTTCGATGCCTCTCTCTTTACCTGGGTCGTTGTAATCGAGAGGAATTCGCACGATTCGTTTTTATACCCTGTATAGTACTTTAATAAAAAGCATTATCCGTCTCGTTGAAGATAATACGCGTGGCCTTTCTTTCTCTTCCCTTACCTTGCAACTTCTCCTTTGTCTTAGTTCCCTTACTTTTTCCTCGAAACTTGATTACTTTCGGGGAATTTCGGTCCTTTTTAAAGACAATGTTTGCTCTTGGCGATTGGGAATCAGAAAGTTTCGTCGAATCTAGATTTGTTTCAATAGCGTATACTTTTGGAGTTTCAATACGTCGTATTTGTGCCAATCAAAGTTTAAATATTAAAGTTTTCATATTTCCAAATTGAAACTATTCAAATTTAAATATTCCGCATTTTCCCACTTACTTCAATCCTTTCGCAACCAACGGAACGCGTACGTCCCACTCGAGTACACAAAAATTGATCTGAATTTCGAATTCGTTACAAAAACGGCGATCGACGGGTAAATACGAAATTCTCAAAAAAAGAGAGAAAAAAAGAAATCATTTATATTTTTTCTCCCATCGAAGAGAAAATGGTCACGGCAATTCGTTACGAGCGGTGTGACATCGGTAACAGTATTACCCCCAATAAGCGACAAATTCATCAATTTTTATCTCACGTTCGGGGCTCGACACAAACACGTACGGCAACACGTACACATGTCTTACCTGTCCCGGAAGGGTTGAACCTAGCACCGGCACTTGGCCGCGTTCCGAAGTCGTTAGCGGCGAGCTAAAATCGATTAATCATACGCTGCAGCGTGGTAACCTACCTGCAGCCCGTCTCTATACACCTCCCATACGTACAGTAATACCCCCTTTGCTTTGCACGGTGAAACAAGGGACAACGTTGGGATTCGTAACGATCCAGGAAACACATAAACCCTCTGGCCCATTCCCGTCCGTTTCCCGAATCGATCAATTATCAAGACAAATAATTCCACTACGTCGATCCCTGTTCCACCATCCCAGGCATCAACTTTTTCAAGGACAGTCGCGCGTTTCCATCGCGGTCCAGGTGATTGTGAACGACCGTGGTTGAAACGGTTAATTAATACTGTGCGAACGGTTTGTTTGACGAGAACGAACAGGCTTGCAGAGAGTATAGTCATCTAGCACTGTTCGGCGCATGTTGCCACAACAGGTGGCCATCTCGACGGAATGTCATCGTGATTCCGTGTAAATATGTCCGACTGTTACTATTTTACAATCTCTTCTGCCCGATTCATCTCTTGCTGTTTATGATTCTTTCTCGTGGTTCTAGGTGTTACGGGTTAAGCCTACAGTTTTTGCCTTGCAAGGGAACATCTTGAATTGGTAATCACCGATTTTAGCGACTTTTGATTGATGAGTGATTTTAATGGAATTTCGTTGCGTAGTAGTTATCTGAAAAATATTCGATACATGTTCTTTTATATTGGCGATTCTCTACATCGAAGGGTGAAACTACGTCCTCGAAGATGAGGGAAATTGGAGATAGAGAAACGGTGTAAATTACAAATTTTGTATTTCTCAAGGAGAATAAATGTGGATTTTTTTTGATAAAAAGAGACGAGTGTCGAATATATTTTTTAGAACTAATACATAACGAAATTTCATTAAAATCGATGATTGTCACTTAGCAAATAATCGATAATAATAATATTCGAAGAATATTACGATTTCCATTAATTCTGAAAAACGATTCATGTTCACTTAAGTCACGCGTTATTTATTTCGTCGAATCGTTTCGCGTCTCATAATCATGGAAAGCACACGGGGCACACTTCATCGGATTAGCAGTCGATTTCAGGACGAATTGAAATTGCACGTAGCTTGAACAGCGGAATGAAATTATTTAGTGGCTGTTACAGGTGTTACCAGCATAGGTGCTCACTTATTGGCATTAACACGTTATGCCGTACACAATGCTATTCTATAGACTTGTATTAATTACTACTACACCGGAGGGAATATTGAATTTTCAATGTGTAAGCCGATAAGTCGACCAATACCCAAGAAACGGTGTATTGTGCGCAATTGTGTCGATTTCGTTCAAGTGGAACCCTACGTACAAATTTTTTACCACTAAAATTCTCCTAATAACAAAATTTTTGCAAATTTTCAGAGATTTTAAGACCTCGATATCGCACCATATTCGAAATTTTAATTTAGTAAATACTGAGAGTGGTAACAAACGACTTTAAATTAAGAATAAAGTTATGGTAGCATAAGTGTTTTGTATATAAAATGTAAAAACTGTTGTAAGAAGAGTATATCAATTGTGTTAGTTTAATTAATTATATTTGAAATACTGATGTACCATATGTAAATTTTTAAGTTGTAAAAGAAGTCTATAATTGTTCAATAAAATCAAATATATACTTTGAGTGATTTATTGTTTTACCTAGTTTGTGTCTAATCTTCATTTATTCTATAAAAATAATATAAATCCATCTTCCCTGCTGATTCACCTTGCGTTTGAATAACATTACTTAATTAAAACAATGTGAACTGAGGAAGAACACGCGAGTCATCCAGGTTCTTCTCAATTTATTAAAATTTCTTCCTCAATTTCACTTTACAAGAAACATTACTCAACCTAGACAGCTCGACTTTGATAAAACTTCACATACAGCTGGAGAATCTGAAAATATTCGACAAGAATGCTTTTTTATTGGGGTAAAATTGAGAATAAAATTTCCCCTTTAATTCGAGGAACCATCAAAGAGAGACTTAACAAAAAAAAAACGTTAATTATTAAAAATGACTCGGCTATTTATGAAAAATAATACACTTACAAAGTTTGTCAAACTACCTAAACCATCGCCCAAATAATGCCAAGTTCTGAGAATCACGAAAGATAGGAGAACAAACTATCACATACGGTCGAATAAATCTACGTAATCCACAAATATCTAAAAATTGCCTTCGAATTTCATTAAAAAAAGAAAACTACGAACTTTCGTTCCAACCCAATACTACCCAATTTTCTTCCCACCGAAACTTCCTCGGTACAAACTTCGAAACGAAGCTCTCTCTATCAGGAAGTTTCCTCAATGATCGGAAATTAGCGTGAAACGAGCAAAAGTTAATCGTACACGTACAATGCGTGAAACAGCTCCTCTCTCCACGCGGCAGCAACCGAGTACTTCTCCCGGGCAAAATGGAACAATGGTGAGACTCGAACGGTGCATCCGCGGAAAATACAAGATCTCTCGCGACAATTACGCGGATTAAGCCGTCGTCGACTAATTCACGTTGGTCGTGCGTACCCGCTATCGAGTTATCGTTCGTCTTCGCTTCTCCTCTTCACGTGCTCGTCGCCGCCGCCGCCTTCGAGATAGCTGTTTCTCGGGCTTCTCGTCGTCGTCGTCGTCGTCGTCGTGGAAAATCGCATTCCTCGGTGTCGCGTGGTATTAACTGTATCAGCAAGCTCTATCGTATAAGCCTCCCCTCTCCCACGATTTTGCTCGGCGTATTACGCTTCGTCGTGTGCTCGTCACCCCATTTACCGAGAAACATCCCCTTTGTTCCGAGACACGTTCTACGTAGAAGAGGCAGCTCCACCTTGACGAGCTTCATGCCTGTTCTAGATCTACGGAATCCTCAATAACCATATTATTTTCCGCCATTCTTTATCGGAGAGAGGGAGAGACAGAGGGAGAGAGAGGGAGAGATTCTCATATCCGTTGCTCTCGCTTTTGATCTTTTCACCCACACTCCCTTTTCCGGGACAGCACGATCGCCTGGTATTAAATTCCGCAGCTCCTACCGGTTAATAGAGGCACGTGAGTCGAACGAGGAACGCCCTTTTTAATTTATGTCGCGACGATGCGGATGGGTTTAATGATGAGCTGATGCGCGACGACGGTAGTTCGATCCATTGAGCTGATTGAAGGAAAAATTGTCTTCATTATCGATTTCTCCTTCGCACGTTTCACCTGTGTGCTTTTTATTCTGTTTTTTTTTTTCCTTTTGTTCATTGCGTGTTGCGATTTTTTTTTTGAAATTTTGTTTGCAGGAGTTTTATGCGGATGCGAGACACGAGTGTTGTATAGAGTGGAGTAGCGAAAGTTGAAATGTGGATGTCTTGAGGACGTTTGTTTCTTCTGCAAAAGTTATTTGGTGTAAATGGTGCTGGCATATGGTCGTAACGATCTTTTTGGACGATTTATGTACTCGGTCTCGAGCACCTTGCGTGCAAGCTTCGTATTTTGTAAGCTGTTCTATTTGCACAAAATATCGTTTTGTGCTAAATTATTTTTACGAGAAAAAATTTCCTCTTACTTAGGTGGTTTCTTAGGTTAGGTTTCCTGTATAAATTGCTTCAGATAGTATAAAGTACGAAAGAAAGGACAATGAATTTGCTTTCAATGAAAAATGTGTGAAATTTGGACAGCGATAAATTCAGTTTTTTTTTTTTTTTGTATTGTCAGAAATGATTTACGAATCATTTCATAAACGGTTTATTTTCATTATAATAAGCGTAAAAATGAGCTTTGAAATTAATCTTCCACGTGCAAAAATTTCCTATATAAACAAACTATATTTTGGTCGAAAAAATTGTCACTTACGTGGTTTCAGATTAATCTTCATTATGTTTGCTACATTTTGTTGTTTTCGCTGTGCAGACAGCATTCACGGCGATATTTGCAAGGGATGATATAGAAGGTAGTAATAAAAGTTAAGGGCAGTTTTTTTGGCAACTATTCTACACGGGAAAACAATGCGAGAAATTCACATACACTCGTGCTCGCGAATGGCGTGCCTTTGAGTTACTGCCAATTTTTCATAAAAATAGACTGTGCACAAATGAAAATGTAGCGGTGGAAGCCACGACGAATTACGTGAACCTTTTTCGATTTTTGGCCTCTCGA